AGCGACAAGGAACCATTAACGGTACTATTATTATTATTATTACAGTAACTGTGAGTGATATTTTAAAGTTAATGCGAGTAGAACAGAAATGAACGATATCTGGCTGCTGCCTCGACTATCCAAGGTGTCGCAACTGGCTTTCCTATTTGTGCTTAATACATGTACACGTAGAGACAGAGAGGCGCCAGCACCGATACGGCGGAATAGCGCGTGACCAAGAGAATATATATGCACATATATTTCCCTATCTATGTCTGTATTTTGTACGTACGTAAATGCCTAATTGTAACGCAGTATGTCTTTGGCAAAGGAAAACTGTGAATGAATCATATAGAAAGTAATTAAACTGATTTGGTTGACCTGATAGGATGCGCAAAATTAGATTATAGGGCAGGATTTTGTCTCGCCACAAACACACATATAGAGGGCTCGGAAAAAAAACTCTTCTGCTATCTCATCTGTGCTATCCGGCGCTCGCTGACCGTGAGGAAGAGTACAGATAAATGGGGAACTGTTTCCCTTGTTGCAAATAATGTTGCTATTTGATGTTACCGTTGCACATATTTTGGTGTAGTTATCAATGCTCTTCTAATGGTTTGATCTTTGCTGGCATTGTTTATGTTGCTATAAGTGTTACTCGATGTAGCCACGCTTACGCTCTTTGAAGCCGTTATTTAGTAGCTTTTAGAAATGTCAGTGGTGTGTGCCCGAGCGTGTATTTCGACTAGGGGCAGTGATCAAACAAAGACGGGTACTTGGTGGATGAATCCGAACAAAAAACAGCATGGTTGTGTAGATGTCTATCCCGTCAGACGTTTCGCCTAGCCAGCGTAAAACATGACGGATTAATACGTTCTCCTATTAGGGGCAGACATAGTCCTACTAATTCCCACGTGATAATACGCTGAAAGAGCCGATAAGTGCAAGGACACAAAAGTAAACATGCTTCTGAAAAAAGCCGTTGTGAGGCTCCATTTAATTACTAGTACTGATCTCAACGTTAAACGATATATTAAACACTAACACCATCATAATAAATATATATGGTGCATAGTGGAGCCATGGGTGTGCATATTTTTTGCAAGATGTATTTATTGGACCAAGCCAATCTTACATCCTGTGAAACAAACAAAGCACAATATTCCGTATCCTCAAATGTGTTCGTCAAGTTCTTTACGCACACATTTTTTGTACGTTAGTCGATTATCGAATTATTGCCCGGATGTCTGAATATATATACATGTGTTCAGTGTATATATGCTCTGAGATTAAAACAGCAGAGATATACTTAGATATCTATGTGTCTAAGGGATAAATTAAGGAATACAACTAAAAAGACATAGTTTATGTAAAAAAAAAAAAAAAAAAAAGTAAATCAAATCACTTTCGTAATTTTAAATAAAACGTATCCATTCTTAAAAAATTCAATAGGCCGAAATGCCTTGTGCAGGTACACTGTGCCCATGGTAAACTTTAAACGGCAGCGGTTACGCAAAAGCTACAACATCAATTTTGATGCTCAAATGCTTTGTAAACGAGCCTAAAGCGAGTGGTAATTAGAATTGATTTTATTCGAAATCCCCTTCTTTCCCTACGGAACATGCAGATGTCTGTCCTACCCATAATATTGGTCCGTCTATCCATTTCCTACTGGAATCCTCGGACTTCTTCGTGAATGTAGGCACTCACTAACCACGCTGACGCTACTGTATGGATTTGCTGACAAATTCCTCCACTGCTACCGTCTGCTAAGCTTCTAAACACGTCTCCACCGATTGTGATATCAAGATATATTTTTATCTGTACCAACTGAAGATACGTTATACTATTGACCATGTAAAATACTCCCGTTTACACGTACGCACATAACTATACTGGATAGAGTTTTATGAGGAACCCTTTGAATACAATGTTAGATATACAAATTCCGCTAAATAAAACATTATTATAGTTGGAATACAAGGCACACATGTCGAGCTTATTAATGCGTCTCTATTTCAACAAAGGCTACTTCAACCCGATAATCACTAGGCTGAAATGCCACGATGTAATACAGGTTACGGGCTTGAAACTGGAATTGATTTCTATAATTTTCGTCTATCGGCTATAACCGAACTGAACCGAACCTCAGCTCGTGAAGTGAGAATTAATTTTATTCTATTCATTTTATACAGGTTATTTCTCAAAGTTTAACTGCACTATGCTACGAGCAAAGGTTTACCATTAAGGAAAAAACTGGAAAGATTAAACCTTTCTAGGGAAGGAGGGTCAGAAGAATAGGGAATTGAGGTATAACAAGAAGTAGGCTCTAGGCTGTCACCCATTTGGAGAACTATAGCCGTACATTGGTGACGGCAAATTCAGCTATAGTCATCACTAAAGACAATTTATACATTGACTTATTTTTGCCGTTCCATTCATTGTTGATCGTATCAGTACGATGACGGCGGGTGCTACGTGTGTCATCCTACTGTGCGTGCAGATGTGCTGCCGTGCTGTACCTCCACCCGTCTATCCTTGTAGCCTACGTATGTATGTGTGTGCATGCGTGGGCGCATGTGTCCATCCGTCTGTTTGTAGCGTGTACGTGTCGGTGCATTGGTAGATATATGCCTTAGTATTGAAAAGCTTTCCTCCCCGATGCGAATGCATTGAACCGAAAAAGAAAAAATCATGAAGTTTCAATCTTGTCATGCGTCGTATATACTTGTATATGTGTGAGGAGAACAAGCAACCGCATCGTACGATAAGCACCACCAGTAACGGAGGAGAACAGAACAGGGCCATCTTGAACCGTTTCAATGCTTTCTTTGCCATTTTCCGAGCCTCGCCAAGCTGTATCCCTAAACCTTCTTTGGCTTTCCCCCGCTTGTGCAGTTTTCCCCTCAACTTCATCCCTATCTCCGTCCGTCTAGAAGGACGGAGTGAAAAGATAAAAGATGAAACAGGACAATATGAGCATCGACGGAGGATGAGACCAAGAGGGTAGTGTTCATTCTCTTTCTCTCTCTCCTTTTTTTTTTAAGTGTCATAGTACGCGTCTGTGTTCGTTTACGACAGGAGTTTCCTCTATAACTGTCCAAACAGAGGCAGTCGCTTGTATCAGGTCGTTACGATTCCTACATCACTACAATAGCAACCATACTACCATTGAGATTTCATCACGCCGGCGGGCAGATTTCAGACTGTAAAGGGAACAAAGTGCGGATGGCAGCTAAAGTAGGGGGGCAAAGGTCTTAACAATTGCTAGTTGCGACAAGTGGTCCAATCGAGATGATTGTAGAGAAGAGCTTGCTGCTACTGCAACTGCTGTATCTTCATTGTCTTCCACCTTTCGGTGATCGAGACTGATCATGATGATCATAGCCTTCTATGCTACGGGTATTACTTACAGCTTCCACAATTTGTACTATTGCAGATACCGCTACTGCAACTACTGAAAGGGTTACGGCAAGCTGGCCGAATTCGCAGACTTTGAGGAAAGAAACGAGAAAAATACGAATCAAGAAAAAGAAGATTTTTTAGATTTACCTAAATCAACGTTTCTCCATAAGCCGGATCACGGAGTCTGAAGCAGGGCTACTACAAGTACGAACATACAATGTATTATAGCCATTGATTCTAGCACTTCCGCATTTTTGTTAATCAGTGAGTCAGTAGACAAGATGAAGTCGTTAGAACAAGTATCTTTCGTTTCTAGTCATACTAATAACAGTAATGGTGATACTGCTATCCAGCATGCTTTCCCGACAGGGCTTGGTATTATAACTAGCGTATAAATTTAGAATAGTATCGGAATAAAAAACATTTTCCCAATACCGCAGTTCATTGACTCGAGTTCCATGTTAGGCGAGTAACTCGCGCTTTCTAGATGACCATCACGTGAAAGAAGGCTGCAGTGGAGTAATCGAAATATGAACATTATAACCTGAATGAAGTAACATATAGGACGCTTCTATTATGTAGGCATGAAATAGGTGTGCAGCGTACTGCAAGCTATTCAGCCATAATTAAGTGGGTTGTTAACTAAATGGTAGAAATTATTATAACTATATAAGTTAAGCAGGTTCTTTGAGGTATACTGTGTTTACTTTAGTTCAAGAAGCTAGACAGGCTGAGTTTTAGCAAACAACCGTCAACAATTGCCAGGCTTATAATACAATTTACTTTAGAACTATAGGATACTTGTAAATTGTATTTCTTCAATGTGGTTTCCGAAAGATACGTTTGCAAAGTCTACACGAATGTTTCGTGTAACTTTAACTCCCCAAGATTAAAAGCCGGGACTCCCACGGCCACAATGCTCCTAGTGATCGTATGGGGGCTGTGCAGCGACCATGGTCGAAATGCAACTAGACTAATTAGAAGATACTACTGGAGTATTAAAGGCTGCTTTTTTTCTGCAGAGAGAAGCACTATTAGGGTATTAGACCTGGGCTATAGTGGCCTCAAATGAATATCACTAAATGCAAGGAAACATATTTTATGCTCATACGTAATTCAATGTTTTAAGTTAATCTTGCACCGTACCAATGTCTAAAGGAATAGAATGTACTCTGTCTATTTTCTCATAAAAGCCATGTTACGTTGAGTATCAAGTTGATAGTGTATCCATGTACATTCATTGAGTACCGTGAGAAGGCAATAGTTCAGATCACTGCACTGAACATGTTCGGGTGTTACATTTATCCAATTACATGTAGACTGTAGTAGGTTTTAGTCATCTAAACCACTTAAAATCCTATTTCGAATAGGATATCAAATCGTTAATTTTAAAGTGACGATATGTTCAAGATTTCTGGTAACCGCTCCTATGGTGCGCTAGCTTTTAAGGAAGAAAATATTGTTGAAAAATAAGTTTTTCTCATAGAAGCGCACTTATTTCTAGCTTATTTGACGCATTGTATTTCAAACCATGTTCGTCGAACTACGATAGGCAACGATTGTGTATAGAGGTACTGACAATTTATTTAACATACAGCTGCTCTTGCTTATTTCAGCGTCGATCATTTATACGGCCGTGGTTCGCGGTAAGGTGGCGCTTCCATGCAACATCGAGCCACCTGCGAAAGACGATGAGGTCGTGTTAGTTCTATGGTATAAGGACGAGACGCCTGCGCCTATTTTCACGCTTGACGCACGGAAAGCCAATCTCGATAGGGCGAAACAAGCCGCCTTGTCTGAACTTGGCAGTCGAGCCTATTTCAATATGGCCAATCGCCCTGCATTCCTTCAACTCGATCCTGTTAAGGAAGAGGACGCTGGAGAGTATCGGTGTCGGGTTGACTTTAAGAAAGCTCGTTCTATTAATACTGTCATCAACCTTCGCGTTATCGGTAAGATAAATATTTTCCGAGCTTAGCGTGCGTCATAATTCGCATGAATACAAGTGCAATCGTTGTAACAGTATAACTAACGATGGACGATAATCCAATGTAGGTACCAGGTTGTGTATGGAGGGCCTCCCTGAGCACACGTTTCTCATTGACTGTTATCGGAATGAACAGTAACAAAGCATGTCTACCAGCGTAATGACAGATTGACAGTATCTTGATGATCTGTTACAGCAAAGCTATAAGTATGGAACCTCTGTATAGCATTTTACACATATTTGAGAAAGGTCTATAGGGAGTCCTCGTTCGTCATTTGCAGTTCCTCCGGGTGAGCCGATTATCGTCGACGGTGACAGCAAACGGCTACGTGGCCTGGTCGGCCCGTACAACGAAGGCGAACCCCTTAAACTTACCTGTCAAGCAGAACACGGTAAGTCCTTATATGCAACCAAGACATAAGCCAAAACCTACTCGCTAAACACATTTTACAATGTCAACGATTGATGTGTCGCTGATTCACATTATAATGAAGCGATTATAGTTTGTCTAGTCAACACATAGAAACAGGCTTATTCTGTAATAATGGAAGCATGGAAAGGCCCTGTAAAGAATACTCGCTGCTTAATTTAAACACAAAAGGTTTGTATTTTAATTATTTGATTGACTAGCCAGAGTGCATTCTTTAATACGATCTGTTGATACATAAAATTTGAGCTTTTTTTCCGAACCGGTTACGCTTCCTAGAAATCTGTTTTGCAGAAGATTTGTTGAAGTTGAAGGGTGTTAGCCCTGCATATGAACCCGCGTACCCATAAGGTGTGCCTTAATTATTTAGCACAATGCACTCTTCTTTCCAAAGCACCGTATGGACTACTGCAACAACAAGTAACACCTAGTTCAGGAAAAATCAGCTAACACCAATGCATACGCTTATATACGTGGATATGTGTTCGTGAATGTTATGTAGAAAGCAGATTAAGTAAGGATGGTGGTTTTTGGTATTGCGTAAGTTGATCAACACTAGTACCGCTACTAAAGCGAGTAATCGGAAGTTCCTTTATTTACCCTTTGTTCTTGGCACATATATATATATATATATATATATATGAGTGAAATATCTAATTTCGATCTTGACCGTTGACTTCCAAAACAGGAAAGTTTATAGTTTTGGTAAGGTTTACCTCGCGTGAATATATCTAATAGTAGCTAATCTTCATTTGAATTCTGAAAATGACTCTTTGCTATTTGTCGTGATCAGCGTTCTGTTTTCTTCAAGAAGGAACTGCGTTTACTCTGATAGCAAGAATGGCAAGTGAGCACATGTCCGCTATGACAAGCAGCTTACTAAGATCTATCCAAATCTGAGTGAAAATGTTTCACGTAAGACTATATCTATATATTCATATTTATTTAATATAACCCTCATTTACCGATGTTGCATCTTCAATTTAGGAGCGAAGTCACTCACTCGTCACAGTAGCCCCGCATCAGGGGATAATCGTAACTGTAACTTCGCTAAAGTGTCGCTATATACAGAAAATTCCAGTAGAATTAAATTTTGGCCTGGTCCTACAAATGCAGAGAGCCTAGTACCATTTCTATACTACAGTGTCATAGCGTCTAAATAAATGTATGTTAGATACAATAGGTATTAGTAATCATTCAAGTGGTTGTGTTGGCAAATATCGGAATATGTTTATAATAATAAATAGAAACAGATTTCACGGTTGGAAATTAGTGGCGACAGTTATATCGGCTCTTTATTGCGTATTCCCTGCTATTTTAATAGATAGTAAACGACAACCCTTCAGCCACCAAAGTTACGTTGCAGGCGCTACGTTGAATGACGCAAATATCTTGATAAGTGAAAACACTTTACCTGTTGTTGCCAATTGTACTTAACCAAAAATAATTCTATAAGGTGTAATTTTGAAATCTCAAAAACGGAATAGTTTTTTTTTATAATTTAACCTAGATTTTCGATGGCCATGATGATAACCAAAAAACGTAGCAATCGGTTAAGTTTATGGTTATTGGTAGGTTTAGTGTTAAATTTATCGCCTGAAATTGCGGACTGAATAGCAGAGCTACCCGTTGTTTGATGCGACCGTATTAAGATATGAAGATACCTTTGGAAGCAAAATAACAACATGCAGAAATGGTAGCCGTTCCTGTCACCTATTGAAGCTGAACAAGAACAGCGACTCAAACAGTGACTTTTGAAGAAATGTCAAATTGTAGTCAAAAAACATCCATAGATGTAGGTGTAACTGGTTTTTTGTACTTCCTTTGTAAATTATGCAGGTAAACCTCGTCCGGCAGTTACTTGGTGGAAAGATTATAGATTGCTCGACGACTCATATGTATTCGACCAAGATGGAGCTGTTGTCAAGAACGACCTCGAGATTAAGGCACTTACCCGCAATGACCTTCTAGCCGTTCTGGTTTGTCAGGCGTCTAATAATAATATCACCGTGCCTACCCCTAGCCAAATTACACTGGACCTTAATTGTAAGTGGTTTTCGCTTTGTGTACTTATTCAGTTTTTCTAGGCTAGAACGTAAGAGTAAAGTATTTAATCGTGCCCTATTCTTCTCTAACTAAACGCATCTTGCCTACAAATGACTTCTTTAAATCAGGACAATAGAAGTTTAGTTATAGTTGCTAGTAACGTTATTATGGAGTCCAGGTTAATTATACACATGCCGTATGACTTTATCCTTGGCTAGGTAAGCGTGCTTTCGTGGTATCTAAAGAACTCTGACCTTACGGCTATTTTCACGTCGACCACTTTTTTTCATACCAAATTGATATTTTAGTGAAACCATTGGATGTAACTATACAGCCGGTGGAGCGGCCGCTGTCAGCCAACAAAGAAGTTGAGCTCGTATGTACATCCACAGGCTCACGGCCGCCGGCAACGCTTTCCTGGTGGAAAGGAAACCAGCAGATTAGGTGCGTACTACTGAAACTATCTCTATTTCTAAGACAAGCGGCTAGTTCATCTCGTAAACAGCTGTTGGCTTACAGACCCATTGTTTCCACTAGTCTATCCAAAACAACATGCATGAGTATATCTAATTCGAGTGCCCGATATTTCATTATCCACTAATAAAATCTGATTCTACTTCAGGACTACCACAGGAATATTGTGTGCTATTTTTTTTTTTTTAATACAAGCAAGCAAATAGAGCCCCAGTTTATACATCAGTTATCACACTCTAACGAATCCATACGTTTCTGTCGCCATGTAACAAGCGGCCAGTGCAGCCAGAAAAACTTGTTGGGAAACACGCTATACGCCAGTGATGACACTCATTCGGGATCCTGTTGTTGGATCATTTCTCTTCCTACGAAGCTGTACAGGCGAGGAGAAAAGGTTCTTGCTAAAGCTCTGTTTATGATTAGCTACTTTAAAGTAGCAGTCATTTCTTGTCACGTCTCGCTCGTGATCGCATTTATTGGGCTCAGCCCTGCTTTCCTCTCCTCACACAGCGTGATAATCTCGTGATAAACCGAGTTACATTATCACTCTGGTCTGCTACCACTGTCGTCATCTGATTTCCTTATCTATTAAAGTGTTAGAAATCTGCCCTTGGCGTCTAGGACGGCTCGAAAAAAGGGGAAGATGCTGAATTGAAGAAGGCTGGCATATAATATTACTGGCTGCCGGGACGTGGTATCTAATTAGCAACCGGTGAGCACCACTGCCGCCGTGCGTCGAAAGCACCCCATAAAGCGAAGGAGTGTCCATTGTTCTAACTGGCCGTTCGTCAAGTAAGCCTTCCCTTGGGAACTCTTCAAGTGATTGACCTCCCATAAAACGTTTTCCCATAACGTTCCCTCTAGCTCCCTTGGCCCTTCCCGCACACCCAGTAAGTTTAGCCGGTTTTGCTATTTGCCAATTTGCAGGATCTGATGACTCCTAGTCATCTAATAACTCGATGGTCACACGGTGTTTTCTTCTGCGAGAGTATACAACACACACAGCAAAAAAGCTGTTGCAAAACAGAATGGTGTAGCACAGTAAGATTTTTTTGTCAATTTTGCTTGATAAACCATTAAAGTGTATGTGCCAACATAAAATGATGAGCTTCATGCTTTGTTTTCAGAACGACTCGTGAGGAGGACTCAAAAGGAGGCCTATCTACTAGCACAAGTATTCTTACATTTACGCCCGGCATTGAAGATAACAACCGTATTCTCGCCTGCAGAGCAGAGAACAAGGCTATTCCCGGAAGCGCTCTCGAGCAAGCGTGGAAACTTGACGTGCATTGTAAGTCAAATATTGGTAGAATATTCAAGTGACGAACTACTATGTACTTAAATTAGGATTATACGAAAATGGTGAATACGGTTTGTTTATATTTCTTATTTTTTTATGTTCGATTATTTACTTGTAAACTTGTACTACATGAGCATGATGTGGAACCCATATTCAAGGACTGCCTTTTAGGTCAAACGCAAATTGAACAGGCACTGCCCACCACTTATTTATGAATTCAGTCCATAACATGTGATCCAATTGAAGAACCGAATTCTGAATTAACAATAAAAGTAATGAGTGAGTTCACGCCATTTGCATAGCGTATCTATTTTTAGAGGCTCTGGCTAATGCATCGAGTTTAATTTATGCATGGGTAATCGAGGTGCTGATCAGTGGACATTGTGACAAAGAATATAGACTTATGTATCTCACTCAGTTGGAGATGTGCTTCCACTAAATCCAAGCCAGTAAACCTGCTTTCCGAAGGCGCATCTATACAGACTAAAGCCGACGAGAATCAAGAATAGACTTGGTTTTTGAAAGCATTTTAATTGGGGAGCACCACAAGTGAGAGAAGAGTTGTACAGTTGTAGTGTCAATTTTATGGCTCCCTCCTTGTTGTCAGAGGAACAGTGTCTGAAAACAACGTGATTTAAGAGTAAATCGTGGACAAACAGCCTACGCTAAAATATACCGTGCTGATTCAATGTGAAGATACTTAAACGTAAGGCTTTCCTAGACGCAGAGTGTGGCGGTTGTACATCGAAAAATTGAACACCACTAAATAAATTCATTCAATTATCCTCTAAACAACATTTATTGTTTAGAGAATAACTGAACAATAAAATGATGTATCCATGCATCGGAAAAAAGCGAGCTATATCGGCGTTAAAAAAAAGCGCCATTTTATAGTTCAGGGTAATATCTTACCTGCTCTCTACGTAGGTTTCTCTCATAGACACGGAGTCTGATGTTAGCAGCAGTATCAGCAGCTGCACGAGACCTTTGGATTTACTATTGCCTTTGTAAAATTTGCAAGAAAAAACGAACGAAACAAAATGAGCAAGCGACTAAGGGGTCCGTCCGTTCGCCCATCAGCAGACCGCAGACCGATCACTCATCCCAAGTTTCGTATGGCAAGATTAGGGGGAGGGGAGCCAATGAAACAAGAAAAAAAAAGGACAGAACGGGAATAAGGGAGTAGCCAGCGAAGGAGCGGTTGTCCCATCGAATAGTATGCAACGATGCTCGCGGCCAACGGGCCGACGGATGAATGAACAGAGCCCAAGAAAAAAGAAGTCTCAGTGTGCACGTGGTTGTGTTTTTTGTGTACAATAAGTTCGCCTGTGTTCGGGTGCGGGCGTGCGAGGGCGATGAAAAGCTTTTCCACCACGGGTTTTAAGTTGGGGGTCAGATAGGAGGAATACGGGAAAATGAAAAATAAGGGACGGTAGTATCGGCAGAGTCCGGCCGACTTTTTCCACCTGTAAGGGCCGCGTTCGCTCCATGAACGCCCTGCTTCCGCTTCAAAAGGAAGTCATAGTTTCAAGCGGCATTGTTCGTTGAAAGCCATCCGGGTCCCTTGACCGCCCTATATATTCTAACAAGCTGGCTTACATTACATTGTGGTGGTATGACTATGACAATGCTGTAATGCTGTCCGCTGCTGGTTTCATCATCGCAATCACCTTTTCCTATCACCTCTGCTCCCCTCTTTTTTTCTTTCTTTATCACTACCGCTGCTATGATGGGCATGCATAAGCTCATCGTCTGTCGCCGTATTCGCAACCGGGGGTGGCGAAGTACCAAACCTAGGTTGGCATACCAGGCAAGCAGACCTAGTGGGTGAAATGGCTCGAAATCACTTGCGCCTATACTACCTGTATAACCGGTAAGCATGCCAGAAGATGGAGAACATTGTTTCAAGGACAGGCTGTTGTAACACTGTGGCTGAAAACAGTAGCTGACGAACGGCAAGAGGATAAACCCACTGGCCACTTGCCTTTGCTAAACTGGGTGTCGCCGCCACTTCCATTGCTCTTCCGCTGCCGTTCTTCCTTCTATTACTGTTCGCCCCTTACTGACGTCGCTGAGACAGAGCAAAGAGGAAGAAAACGACGGAAATGGAAGGCGCAAAGGCGCTATTGTGTTTTTTGCTTTTTTTAGTCCGCCACAAACCGCGTTTGGTCATCGCTTTTTAGTCTTTTCTTAGCATCGCCCAATTTTCTTTATAGCCCTTTTTTTCCTACTCCAACAGTACCTTCCTTGTACTTTTATCTTTGCTGTGTTTCACGTGGTCGCTTTTATTGTTGCCAACAATATTTCAGATGCACCTCGAGCAAGTCTTCAGCTTGGTGGCAGTCTAAAGGCAGATGAAATCCAGGAGGGAAAGGACGTGTACCTCGATTGTAAGGTGCAGTCTAATCCGTACACCAATGACGTCGGATGGATGTTCAATGGTAAGTGTATCGCTTTGTAAGTAAGGCAAGACAAAGGTTTTTTGATCTCGGAAAAGAAAAATAGGTACTCAGACTAAGATACTGGCTAGAAGTGACTCCTGACCAACTCTGCATATCTACTTTGGACTAGAAACAGAATCATAACTATCAAGAAAGACTTGCACAGCACATCTGCAATGGCAGCACTAAACATCTTGAAGACTCCACGAAAGTGAAGAAAAACGCCTTAGCTACCAGCAACATGCAATACTGTGCGAGACTGCCTTAACTGAAGCTATTTTTGCTCCTTTTCTACTTTGACGGAAGTTTCGTCATCAACTAGCAGTCTGCTATTGTTTTTCTCATACCGCTCATTGTTTATAATTCTGTTTGCATGCTGTTTCGTACAATCCTTAGGAGCCCTACCGGTACGGCTCGACAATTCGCTCAAATTGAACGCACTACACTGACTTTAAGAACCGCGAATATTATCTCATCCGCCCCAAGAGACTTCGCAACCGAGCTGCCTCTAAGGCTACGAAGACCTATCCACTTAACTGCAAGCGTGTGTAGGTAGCTGATTATAGAGTGAAGCATGTATCGTGGCAACCTTCCAAACGTTCGGGGTTCCGATCCCCGAACGAATTGCAGGCCAAGCAGCGGATGCTTTTGAAAGATAAATGAAGTATGCAGACGGACATAAATATATGTGTGTGTGTACACAAGAGCAGCTGTACTACCACTACTTATACAACTACTACTACTGTGGAAGTTCGATTTGCTTGAGCCTATCTGGCAAATGTCTTCGGATATTTCCTTGTCACTTTCGCATGTCTCCCTCGGTCGCAGTAGGATGCAGCATTACACAGTGGAGTAAGCACCTTTGGCGTAGTGTGTAAACAGAGTTCGACACGTACAAGAGGGAAAAAGCGACGGATGCTCTACTATTAGCTACAGAGCAGCAGCCACAGTAGGACGGTGGGAATATGATATAGAAGACCGGACGAAATGCGAGAGGAGAGAAGCAGGAACATATAAATTCACACATAGCGTATATACGCACGTCCGTAGGCAAACAACAAGAGAGCACGCCAGTGCTAAGAGCGGCAGATAAGCAGCAGAAGCAGTAACATGTCTGTGCCTTTTACTGTTTTGCTGCCAGAATGTGACCAGCACTCGGTTAGTGACGCTTTCGTAAGCGCCGCACGCACAGCCATTCAACGCGCTTTGTTCCTCCTTCGTCGCCTCCCACCTTATGTCAATTGTTGGCGCTTCGTTCTAAGCGGAATCAGTCGTCGTATCTGCCGAACGGGTGCCTTACAGCTGCTGAGCCGATTGGAGACTTCAGCTAGCGTTATTTGCACACTCTCTCTTTCTCTCTTTCTGCTTCTACTTCGTTTCTGCGTTTCCTCTCCCCTCCCATTTCTCTCGCCCCCCTTCCTCTTTCTTGCCTGCTTCGCGATTCCTCTTGCGTTATCCTTTGAGATCTCTGTACGCTGATCTTTGTAACCCTATCTTCTTCTCGTATCCTTGCGTATCTTCTTTATCCTTTTCAGCCTCACATACATAGAGAGACATGCTTGCAAGTAAACACCTAGGTTCGTGAAAGATCTCTTCCTTTCGTCTGCTCCACCTGCCTATTTCATCTCTTGGGAAATAACATTTATTTCAACCTCCTGACCGAGTGTCAACGTTATTCTTCTATTTGGCCCTTCCCAGTCTTGTTCCCTCTTGGGAAAACGTTTTTTCACGTACTGCGACCATACCCCCTGTTTATATAATCTGTGTATGCGTGCTACACGTAGCTGTGTATACGTACGCAATATGACGAAAAATAGTAAATAAAGGTTTTGAATACCTGTTAGACCATACCCGAGATATAATTGTGAATAAGCGGTATGTTCGATACTTTGAAGTGTAATACACACACGCATTCAATATAACGAAGCTGATAGGCGGCCAAGCAGCAGAAGATGCAGTCAGACGATAAGGTGGGAACGTCAAGAATTGTCGAGAGATTTACCCACGCGCATAAACAGCATATGTATACTTCCTAAACAGCCATTGCCAAACTATCAATGGTCTTGTTTGTAGTGACACCTTTTTTAATGTTGCCTTTAATATAACATGCTCTAGGATTTGACTAAATGAAACCAGGCTCGAATATTCGTACTAGGCACATCCATACGAAGTGAAATTATAGTGCTCTGCTTGAAAATGAATAAAGCAAACAAAATGTAATAAAGTGTTGGCAGCAGTATAAACCTTGTCCAGTAGAGTACTATTTATTTGTTCATATATAGTATATCAAGCAAAGTTTCGTTAGGATCAAGACACATATTCGATTTGCTTCACAACAGGTGTGGAATTGGCGTCAAACCAGAGCTCCGGGATGATCGTCTCGAGTCAGTCGTTGGTCCTGCAAAGGGTAACACGAGCCCATAGAGGCAAATATGCGTGTCACGCCACAAATAAGGAAGGCAAGGGTGTGTCCGCTCAGTTCAACCTTAGGGTTAAGTGTAAGTGCCGTTATAATTAAACAGCTCCATCAACACGCTGTTACTATACTATACAGGCCATATAAACGTAGCTAGAGATATTTTTAGCTACATAAGTTAACCGAACAGAGTTTTTCGTAGCTCTATAAAAGCTAAGGGTCTTCCCGTTTTAGGAATTGGCTGTGCATGTAAACATGATTGATTGGATGCGAAGTCTCCCTACTTTGCACCATTGTCCTTCTTCAGGCACTGGTGCATCATTATTTGCGTTTAGTCAAGATATCGTCTTTGTCGATACCTAACGTCGCTTTTTAGGCACAATAGCAATCTTTAAAAAAAAAAACCTGTGTTTTATTGGATTTATAAAACGCAGGTTCTAGATGCATCATCTTATTTACGATTCGATTTCAGATTAATACACTTGTTTGTGGAGGCCCGCGCATCAGATACAATCCAGACTTAATTAACTCTTTTTGAAATTGTTTCTGGGAAACTATACGGTATAATTAAACAAAGCGAACTTGAACTTTTCGCTTATTCATCTTGCTTGTATGGTGGCAAATACAGAGCATGTATTTTAAGATATGACTGAACCTGCTGCCCTCTTTGTCGCTCTCGGGAAAGACTTCAGTTGTGATTCGTTTTGACGCCTGTTACAGTCGCTCCGGTTTGCAAGGAGCCGCAACGTTTTGTGTATGGTGTATCGAAGCACGAAAGCGTTGCGATCCACTGCCAGGTAGACTCGGATCCGCAGCAGGTATCGTTTAGGTGGGCCTTCAACGCCAGCGACGGAAAGCTTAAAGAGATCACTGAGGGTTTCACTACCTCATCAGGTGGCCGTAGTACCCTGGTATATCGGCCCCTCTCCGACGATGACTATGGGCAACTGTCATGCTGGGCGACCAATTCCGTTGGCATTCAGAGGCAGCCTTGCGCTTACACTATTATTACAGCCGGTGAGCTCTCTTCGTGTCAGCTCTTTGGAATCGATGAGTACTAGCAAATCATTAGTGAAGTATTATGCAAAAATAAGATTCAAATTTTCTTTTCGTCTATGTACAGCGGTATATGATAGAATACATTTACAGGGCCCGTGAGGCCTCGAAAAATCGAGTGCACAATTTCGCCTAGCACTAAGTATCTTTCGGACCTAAAATCTCACAGTCTTAACGAATGCTATACGTATTTTTTAACTATAAAAATAAGCACCTTCCAACTTTTTTCTGCCAACATCAATCGAGAAGGTCCGCCCGACGCGGTACAGAACTGTACGCAGGTGAACGCCACGGAAGACGGCATGGCCATCGAGTGCTCAGAAGGTCTCTGGGACGGAGGACTTTCAAATCCAGTATTTGTTGCTGAAGTATACGAAGCCGACGCCGGCGCGGGACGGGGGCCAATATCTAACGTTACCACACACGGTAAATATACACATCTGGAAAATGACATAACAACTAATTAACATGGAAAACTTAATTCTGCAATATTATCATACTGAATGGAAACAATGCAGTCCTAGCGACCATTTACTATTTAAACGAATGCTTTTCTATGGAAAATTTAGCGAATTCGAAATAAATTAGGGTCACATGTGAGTTCTATCTAATATCTAAGCCCAATTAAGGTGGTGATATGTGTCTGCTGTGCGTATAAACAATCTCCTAAATGCAGATGAATGGATGTCATCTATATTAGTCATTTCTACAGTAGTAAACCCCAAGTTTCTAGCAGATATCACACGTTTAGGTGCACGCCAAGTTTGGTAGCCTACTATTTCAACGCGCGTTCTAAACGCTACGCTGGTAAGCTAAGGGCTAACACACTTTGTACTTATGTTTGCCTAAATGTTTATACAATAGACTTCTATTTAACCCTGAGCATTTCCGCCTTTTAGGAGTTACCATTTAGATAACTGTCAAAGATGTACTGTGATATTTTACATCAAAAAGCTGCCGAAAGCATTCATGGTAAAGCTTTAAAATTGCTAAGGTTACAGTCATGCTGAACGAGGTTACCACTCTTCAATGTGTGTGTGTGTGTGTGTGTGTGTGTGTATCTCAAATCTCAGCCAAATATTGAGAGTAGTAATTTAATAGTACTAATTTATCACTCATTCAGGCTCAACAGTTCATCTGATAGCTTTTTTTTTTTCATCCGTTAGATATAACACACAAGTTTGATTTAGTCCATCGGTCCAATTCGCCAGCCTGCCCTACCCATATTGAAATCTATATCTCCTTCTATTTGATTTTCATCGAACTATTTTTTTTTTTGAAAACGCGACACGCGGTTCTCGGTAGTCACATTTTAAACACAGACTGTTTCCTGCATAGCTGCTATACTACCCAAACATTACAGCTGACTTAAATAATTAAGAAACCATTAGGCTCATTGGCATAGCTGAAATATACAGCCCGAGGTAAAAGTGGGGCAGGTCCCGTTTAGAAGCTCTGCCATTTCAGACGAAAAGCAATATTAATGGTGTGCAAAATGAACGTTATATGAAGATCGTTTCTAGTTGCTGCCCAGTAATGAGTACACGACCAAATTCATCATATAACTTAGAGCGAGTAATAATTATTAGTAACTAGAGCGTTAGTTAGCTAAAAAGATACGGACAACCCAGTCACGTTTTGTGCATGTACAACAATACATGTACATGTAATGATTATTCAAGTCATGAATATATAAAAGGCTTTGGAAAAACAAGCGGACGATTGTTCTTTGCTGCATCATATTTAAGGTCAGTGTACGAAAAACCAACCAATAGATTCATTTGCAGAACACAAGAGGACCCTCCTTCTGTTTCCAATCAGCTGTCGATTAGGAAAATGGTTTACTTATATAATTAAGCTATTCGAGCAGTTTTATTCAGGTTTACTCCTGCATCGATCACTAATAGCCGGGGTCTTTTGCTCTATTTCAACCGTTGGTTTCGTCCGCCTAGGTCCATCAATGTCCAACATGCACAGTTGTACGCTTATACCACATCAAATATCGTATGCCTATCTGTAAATACTGCTGATGTACTGCATCGCTCTTCCGTTCAGACGCTGGTGCACAGTTAATGCGAATGCTCTTAAATTGTCGACGTTACTTTGTCGATTTTCGATTAATGTGTACAGAAAATATTCACGTTTTTTTTTTAATTAGATTACTTAGTACAACGCCATTAGAAGTTAATACGTGTACACCTGATTGCTACTATGCGTCTTGGGTAAGTACAACGTTTTGTTTTTGATAGCTGCCAGCTCCACTGGCGTCAACTGGCCTAAGGAGAATTTCAATAAGACAAGCCACAATTGCATGAAATGTATTGAGTCTGTACGGAAGGTTTGATTAGAGTTCTAATAACTGATACGGCATAAAGGAGAGAAAAATTAGCTTGTGAGGCAGTTCCACCTTGTGACAACAGGATTTTGTTATTTAACTATGTAACTAATGGGTTGTTATTATTGTTGTTGCAGTAACATTTGGACGTAATGTGAAATTACCTTTTTCCTTTCCTTCGTTGGTTTCTAATTGCTGCTGAAATTGTCATTACACCATTGGCTAACGATCTGTGCTGTCGGCGTCTGATTGCGTGTCCTTTCTCGTGTTTATTCCTGTGTGTATTTGCAGGTCTGCCCTTGTTTGTAATCCGCGGTATACCAGGTGGCGCCAGTTTTCGCGTAATTATTACCGCGAGTAACGCCAAAGGTCGAAGTCCGCAATTTGTCGTTATGGCGCAGACGCCTCGTCCAGCTGAAAAGTACATAGGTCAGTGCTCGTTCTGTGCATAGATAAGTATTTCATAAAGAACCAGCACAAATATGTACCACATCAAAGCTTTGTAGAAAAGTATGCAAGCTTCTATTTAACTAAGGCAGCGTAAAACGCTTCATGAAGTGTATACTCTATTACCTACCTTGATATACGTATGATATACATATATTAATGTAATGCCTGATACCACATAGCGGGTTTTATTTTACCGAAAAGCAGAAATCCAGAATAGAATCCGTTTCAAATTTTCTATTTTAACTTTTTTTTTTTTAATACGTGTTGGTTAACATAACTAAAGTACCTAGAATAAAAGTACAACAGAATTAAACAATCCTTTCATAAACAGTACATTATTATTAGCAAGAATATAT